TTTGGGTAAAAAAAATCGCAGAGGGAAGAAAAGCTGGCAGGGCAACCAAAAATAACTGGGCCCCCACCTTAGCTTAAGGTCTGGATCCACCACTTGGAGCATTCTCTCAGACCTTGGGGCAAAAAATCCACTGGCACCCAGGGTATTATCATACATCAGTATACAGAGTAGATTTATGAGGAGGAGGGGGCCACACCCACCTTTTGGAATTTTTTTCTAAAAGTTGTAACCAGCCTTCTTTGGAGCAGTAGTGAGGGTGTTCATCTACTATGGCTATGGGGTGAGGTTGCACTCTTCCGAAATTATATATCGGTCCCTGCTTTACAAATGTGATCACATCAATTAGTAAGAACTTCCCTTTGACTTACTGTTAACCCACCTCTTCTCCTCTTTCATTCCTGACAACTTGCTGAGCTGACAACAATTTTGTATTATTGATGGCATCACATAGCATTTCTGGGGACAACTCTACTTTGCATCTTATTATACACCTGGACTTAGTCATGACAAATGTAAAGCTGATCACTCCTTTAACTTTTAATAGCTCTTCCTCACATAGCTTTCTAGTAATCTGGGGAACAACAACATGCTGAATGTGAGCAAATAAAATAAAAGAGCAGAGAAGAACATATGTGGGCTTTGTTAGTTGTGGGTCTACTGAACACGTCAACTTTTTCAACTTAATTACAATCCTGAAAATATACTGGTAACAATGTTTAATTGGTTCTGGGTCGGTGAAAAGATTAGGTATGTAAATCAATGTGCAGTTACGGAAAATATCCATACTCCCCAACCGAAGGGATTGGAATTTCCTGGGGTGAAGAAGAAGGGGTGGGGGGTAGCTAGGAGGTTCCTGTAAGACCATACAATTTAAAGAAATGTATGAAGAGGGGTGGAGAGGTCTTAGAAAAAAATCCCTTTTGTGGGTGAGGTATACATATTTTCTGGAACTGCACAATGATAGTATGATCCAAACCTGGTTTGCCAAGCCTTTGATTTGCAGAGTTACTACTTTTGCCCTCTTGTTCAAATTCCCTAGAAAGAAGGATTGCGATGTGCCACTGTGTAAAGAAAAGTAAAAAATACAATTTACAATGTACAATACAATTTATTACAATAACTAAAATAATCATAACACCAGAGAAATACAAATGTTTTTTTTATTTTATTTATTTTCTTTTTTTGAAAAGTATAAATGTATATCAATGTGTACTTACTTGGTAAAACTAAATAAAAGTGTCAAATCACATTCAAAAGAAAAGAAGTACATATTAAGCTTATTTAGTTTCAATACCTGGATCTTTTGCTTGAAGCTGTGTTGACGGGAGGTATGATATTTTGATAGATTTCCTTTGCCATTTGCCTTGCTTTCGCGTTATAACCTTCTTTGTGCATGATAGTTTTTAAGCTGATAACCATTCCTATTTCTTCTCTCATTTTGGATCGGTTTGGTTGAAATTCCGACAAGAATTTCAAGGCCTGAAGAAAGGAAGAGAAAAATGGTCAAACACATTCTTTCGAGTGACTGAAAGAATAAGTTGATTAACAAACCTCCAAGGCTGTAACAACTACTTTTACATCTTCGTTGTCGAGAAATAAAACCAGTCCTGCGAGGCAACCTTGATCCTATAAAAAATAAGGAAACCAATGTCATTTTAAAGATGATAAAACATACCTGGCCGACGGAGAATCGGGCACTCGGGAATACAATTTAAATTTCGTACTTTAACAATGGTTGCTCTGTTCTGTGGATCAGCAGCTAAGTTCTTAAGGTGTTCAACTACCCCTAGAGCAGTCATAATGTTCTCTTAACGCAATTTTCTACCAAAAAATCTCTTGCTCTCGGCTCAAAGTCAGAAATCGTTTCTCTCGCTGTACTCGCAAAGAATGTTTGATTCGCCTTCCACATGCGCGTGTTCAAACCAGCCGCTCTTAAATCTGATTGGTTAACGGTTGTAAACGCGGAACTCTGATTGGTCAGTTCAACATGCATATCCGTGACAACAAAATGTTTAAAAAACTCACCCGATCATGCGGTGCTGATGTTCGGTTGATCGCTTTCCTCTTCCTCTGTCCTGTTGGCATTTAAATTAGTGGTAAATGCAATGGATACTGCTTTTGAAGTCATGAGAACAGTCCTGGAGTATTTTGGCTGGGATGGAAACGAAATCGAAGTATGTTTATTTGAAGATTGGTACCTAGAGATTCCAAGTGCATGTGACCAGCCTTTCAAACATTTTAATATTCGATAATTCATTCTTATGTTTTATGTTTCAGGAGTTGCTTTATAATCGAGACAGAAGATTTATGAACCACAGAAGAAGCATCGTTCGACGAATCGGCAGAGAGTTATCACGTTATCAGATCAAATTGTTTACCAAACGCAGCATAGTTCGCGAGATTGGAAGTCGACTGCCCTTGAAACCATGTAAAAGACCGTATTTTGAGGTAAATTGCAGCAAAACAGATAAGCTTAGCGTGTTAGATGTCCCAGTAGATTACTAAACTGTTGACACTCCCTCTGATTTGCACTGCTCGATCGTTCACAAGAGAGATCTTGGAAGAGAACAAAACATTAGCTTTCGTTGGCGAAAATCCGTCTACAGGCAACAATTCTTGTAGATTATATCCCACTTCCTTAGGCCCAGTTCATACGTCGCATTTCTGCCGTGTCGAATTCAATTCAATTAAGTGCGGCAGAAATGCGACTGTCGATTCATACGTCGCACTTGTGTCGCACTTAATTCGGAATTTGTACTGTTGGGTATGTCAGCCAGCGGAAAATGTTTTAAACGGAGGGTATTCAATATGGCGGACGAAAATACTGAGCGACGAAGAACTTTAATTTTGCAAAAAATTGA